GCTTGAGTTGTGCTACAGTGAACACTTTATTACTCTCTACTGGGCAGCCAATAGATAGCCAAACCGTGGCCGGCACCCAGCCGATTAAGTGATATCTACCTCTACCAATTACAGTATGTTAGAGTGTAGCACTGTAAATGGTGGGGAAATGCCTGCAATAAGTTAAACAAATGGAAGCTTGAATATCTATCTACCTGAATATTAGAGACGATGTTCTCCGTCAACTATCACAATAAAATGTATCGTAGACCTACCCAAACAAAACAAATGCAATGAAGCTGTGCACACAGGATACCTATAGATTACGGCACCTAAATTCGAGCTGGGACTGCTTATGTAGATAGATACATGTTGTAGTTGTAGGTACACTATATTTTCCCTCCAATCGTGGGGTCACCTTGAGCCAGAAGATCAATTGGTCGGCAGAGCACGCCTTAAGTATACAAGTTTCCGCCAACCATTAGCAAAGGGCGTGTCGTACATATACGTATGTATACGTATGCACCGAAAACCTCCGATACCATATGTAAGCAAATCGGGGGCCTACAGCGAATCGACGGTATAAAGAATACAGACACACACACACACCATCGGCCCTACTTAAACCTCCAGTCTCATCCCATGGCATCCGGTCTACGACCTCTGGTACAACAACAACTACGTCCGTTCTCTCAACAACGAACCTCAACCGCACTTACCGCCGCCGCATCAGCAGCATCATCTCCTCTTCGCGCAAAGATAAGGACCCCGCTGTCGTCGCGCTCCAATTACTTCGCCTATCCAATGGCCTCCATATCGACCCCGCCGGCAGGCAAGTGGGAGTGGCTCGTCGTCGTCCCCGACAAGCCGGGCATGCAAGAGAAGAGGCTCGAGGTGCGCCCGTGAGTGTTTATTTTATTTTATTTTATTCTATTTTTTCAACCTCTCTCCCTCCCTCCCCGTCCTAGGACTCTGTCTGTATTATTACACCCCACCTATCCACCTATCAATCTACCTACCTACTTGGCAGCAAGTACACGGTAGCATTCCGCCACCCCCGTGAATTCAATACTTGTTCATAGGGGGAAAGCGACACGTGGTTTCCATGTGATGGATAAATCCAGGAATCGCCAAAGCGAGGCTGAGGGAGGGGACGAAGAAAACAGGACATGACAGCGTTGAGTGCTAACTAACATGTTCGCTTCCCCTCACGCAGACAGCATCTAGCAGGCGTCAAACCCCTAGCAGAGTCAGGATTCGTCAAGACAGGAGGTCGGTCAGCCAAGTCCCCAGTGTACCTACCTATCTATCTCGGGTATCAAAACATACTGGAAGAGAGATGAGAGCTGAGACGCCGCAACAGGTGCCATATTCAACGAGAAGCCCGAGAGCGATGACGCCAGCAAGTTCAGCTTCTACGGCAGCACGCTGGTATGCGTCGCCTCGTCGAAGGAGGAGATCCTCGAGTCGCGTGAGTAGTCAATCTACGGGCCCGTTTTCTCTATGTCTTGTTGTGGCTTTTGAAGTATAGGGGCTCGTTTCCCCGGCTCACAGAGCGAGCCCGACAGCCATCTACGCTTCAGAAGTACTTATAGCCCATGCTCAAGATGACCGTAGCTGACTTCGAGCGTTGCAGTGAGCAAGGACATCTACGCAACGAGTGGTGTCTGGGACCTCGAAAATGTGAGTATTTATTTTCTTTCAATCAATATCTATCGACGATTCCAAAATAACGCGCCTGGTCATATTCACCTCCTACATGAACTTAATATACTGATGTATGACTCGCAGGTACAAATTTGGCCGGTAAGTCAGGGATGGCCATATTGCGTCCGCACTCAGTCTTTTCAGTACTAATCCGTTCAATGATGTACAGGCTAAGTTTGCTTTCCGAAATCCGTAATTCATCCTGCTGTGAAGAGGGTCATTGAGGTTTCCATGACTGCAGATGTGGGTAGCAAGTTATAGCATAATTTCAGGCCTAGCTAGATAAGACGGCGCCTCGTCCATGACTACCTCTTAGAACGCCTTAATTATGAGAAGCCAAATTATCACCGGAGAGGTGGTGGGACCAAATGTCGCCGTGTCCGTCAAACAAGCAAGAGTTATATATGCGTCGTGAAGCACGTCATAGGCTCGGATAGGAGGGCGAATAGCTAGCCGCTGCTCTCGTTCATATAGCAAGCGTGGTGCATAGGTGCCGCATGCCCGAAGACGTTTATCGGACGTCTGGCGTCTGTGACCTTGATGCATCCTCTGCGGCAATTCTAAGCTCATAGTTCAAGTCGAAGCATTCAGACAGTATATCTATAACACTGCCCTGACCTTCCGGGATGTCGTCGGCAACCATAAACTTCCCATCGACTCTCATGTTATCTATGGAATTGAGCTTACATTAAGGTTAGTAAAGTTGAACAAACTACAGTTTCTACTCAAAAGGAGCTTACCTTCATGCTGTACGGATACAGCTCACGGACCGAGGCGACACCACCACTGTTCTTCACCTCCAGGAGGCAACGTTTCAACGTTTGTAATTGGTTGTAGATCGGCAGCAGCGCCTCGGAGACAGGCTCGGATGATATCATAAGATGGTAGATGTAACCATATGACCGCCGAATGAGATACAATAGAGTCTGTTTCCGGTTAATGAACGATCGGCTATTTCATATGAAGGGAGAAAATACCCGTTGCACATAGAGCTCAGCAGGCTGGCCGTCGTCGTCTACCCAGTTGCCATCAACCCGACTTTCATCGATCTTGTCGAGTTGCCGTTGAAAGTCATACAGGTCAGTCTCTCGTAGTGACCAGGCCTGCGTTAGAGATAATCTGTCGAGATCATTTCGGATGCCAATGAGGACGTCGTAGATCGGCCTCCACTTATCTGGAAACTTGCCGCCCCTGGGGTATCCAATGAGTACGAGTCAAAGGAGATGCAACTGTGAAACTAACTAACCGTTCCAAAATTACGCCTGTATACATCTGACATCTTTGTAGTAAGGCAGTAACTCCATCACTGCCTTGCAGTATGTCCCCTTGCTCATCAACGAAGTTGCCATCTTTCCTCGTCTCATCAATCTCCTTTAGCTGTAATTCAAACTTATGTATATCCTTCGGCGAGAACTTTCCACCCGTTAGCAGATTTCGTAAAGAGCTAGACAAAGACTACTGCATCTTCACACCTTCGACTTAGTGTTAATCATGGCCATCTGTCTCAATATAGAAACCAGCCTCTCGGCTGTAGGTCTCAGCGGCTCTGCAATATCTTCCACCTTTTTTTGGAGCTTTGTTAGCGATGCTCGACAACGTTCGATTCGGTGTGCAATGAGAGTCTCGAGCCATGGGGTCGATTCCGTTGTGGAGTTATTGTGTATTATTTCGGACAAGTGCTCGAGGGTATGCGACATGCTTTCCAGGTCTTTAGCCGAAAACAAGTCTGCTTCGGTTAGGTGATCCAAGAGTCGCTTGATCGTCGATGTGAGGGCGTACGCGGCCGGGGCTTCATTGTTCCTCCCTATGGTCATAAAGAAGAGCGATAGTAACTGAAAGCAACTGTCTACTACTCTGTCGACTACACGGAGGGGCAATCTGTTAGAATCGCTCCTTGAATTGACTAAGAGAGTTCGGATAATCAAGACAGCTGTAGCGCACCTCTATTCTCCTCGACAGACTTCCCGCTTCGAATTTCGTTGAGGCGCTTGACTTGGTGAATGGTCTCATCGTAGAGGCCCATGACATCTTGTGAGCGGACATAGGTGGTGCGGTCCAGCTTACGCAACAGCAACCGATTTTGGATTGCGACGAGGTTCTCTAAGACTTGCTTCTCTCCCTCGTCCTGGGGAGGCGGGAACTTGGGCGTTTCCATCGGATCTCTGTCACGAGCGTGGTGGTAGTGGATGTTACTTGGGAAGAAATTGGAGAAGATAAAGTATGCAAAGTATGACGGGTAATAGTAGCACTTTGGAGACGGATGGCAGAACAGATATAGTAGGAAAAGAAGGTTCAACCCCTCTCTTTCTTGTCGTTTGATGCACTTCGTGTAGACCGTGTAGACCGTGGTAGCGCGCCGATGCTGTAAACCTTGGCTACCGCTAATTCAAGATAAAGATGCCCGCCACAATGCGATGAGTAGTCATAGCTCGTGCCGACGTATGCATGGAATACCGAGAGAAAAGCGACAAGGCAGTGTCCAATTACGTCGAGAGAAGGAGGCGAGAAATAAGACCCTGGCTGCACAGGGGCGGGCTTGATTCTGCACGAGCCCAAAAGGGTGTTGGGTGTGTTGGGCTTGTGCTGATGAACGTGATTGGTACCGAAGCTTCTTCCATGTGTCGGAGGACGCCTCGAAGCATGTACTGTTGCGTAGGGATGGTTCGGATACCGGATAGCGGGGGGATGCGAGCTGACGGCCGGAGGGGTAACTTTGAGCAGCCATGTTGGATACCTCAAGCTACCAGTAGGCTGGGTAGGCCCATTACCTCATAGTTGCTCTCTGCTAGGAGGTATCGACCCGGGGACCTACCTAGGTACGTACAGGTGATGGGTATGGGTACTTCGTACATGTACAGAGGTTCTAAGTTTTACTAAATGCCAAGAGTGCGGCAAATTAGGCTTAGCGTAATCGCCGCTTTTGCTCGGGTTCGGCTCACCCTATGATCACTGGGCAGTCAGGTAACTGAGAAGCTTATCCCTTTGGTGGGCATTTCAGCTGCAATACATAAAAAGTGGAATAGCGGGACTGCTTACATAAACAGCTAATCCAATGAAATTATAATCTGATGCTCGGATAATTGTATTATTGGATTATCTGTTTATGTAAGCAGTCCCGCTATTCCACTTTTAATGTATTGCAGCTGAAATGCCCACCAAAGGGATACCTGGGTAATTTATGCAATTTATGCAGCAAATAATACTCCGTAAACTTTTCCAAATGAAACCGCAATATACCTAGATAATCTAGGAGGCAAAAGGTGGGAGTCATAAGGCTTAATTATGCTAGAACTGTTCAATATGCCAAGTAAAAGCCCAAAGCGGTGTAGTGGTAACACGCCAAGGTGACTGCTAAGTTCCTCGCTGAGGGCTTAGTCCCTTCGGGGACGGAGGAGTCCCAGGTTCGATTCCTGGCTTTGGGGAATTTTTTCTTTTTCTCTTTAACTATTACTACCTAGCTTACTAGTATTGCTTAGCTACTACTACTACTACATAATACTATTTATATATTCTATGTATTTTTGCTTATGCTTAACTTTATTTTATCTATTTTTGTTATAAAGTGACTTTTAAGCGACTTTTTAAAAAGTTACTTAAGTTATATAAGTATAAACCGTTTTATAGATAATTTAACTTGTTTTATAATAAACGATCTATTTCGGTGCAACATAAGTACGGTAATACTATAATGTGTATTTAAAATTATGCAAGTTTTTAGTTTGTATTGCATTATAAAAAAGGGGGTTTATTTTAAGCAAAGCTTAAACTTAAGCTAAAAAAGGGCTTAAAAAAGATTTTTATTATAAGAAAACCCATTTAAGAGGTATTGCTATGCTTTCTAAATACTAGCTTAGAACTTTATAATTACTACATAAAGTTAAGTTTATACTTAAAAAGGTAAATATTAAAAAAAAAACATTTTTTAAGTATAGTACTAAAAAACTATATATAAATACTACTAATTTAAATAAAGCTAGTTTATGTTTTTTAAGTTTTTATATAATAACTATTATATAGTATATATTATAGCTTATATTACTTAAAAGCTATAATTACTTTTTTTGCTAAATAGCTATTTTAACTATTTATAAAAATAAAGCTATTTATAAATGCTTTTTAATATTTATATTATTAACGTTTTTAATTTTTGTTTATTTTTTTTTAATATATATTTATTAATATATTATAAACTTTTTATTAAGTAGTTATTTTTATTATAAGCTAAAAATAAATTATTACTATTATATTTATTAAGTAATATTATTTTTTTAAAGCTTTATAGTTTATATATATTGCTATAATAATAACTTATAATAGCTTATAAGCTATTATAATATAGTTTAAACTTATTAGCTTACTATTTAATATATAAAACTTAATTGCTAGTTTTATAAGTTTTAATTAAGCTTTTTTTTTTTATAAATAAGCTTAAATTTAGTTTTTTAATGCTTTTAAACTACTAAAGTAATTATATGTTAATAATGCTTTATAGTTTTATATTAAATATTGCTAAAATTTAACTTTTTTTTTTGTTTAGATTTTTAATATAATTAGCAATTTTTATAGCTAGTTATTAATTTAGTAGCTATATTTTAAACAGCAAAAAATAGCTGCTATAATTATTAAGCTTTAAAGTTTAATTATATATATAAATAGCTGCTTTTAATAAAGTTTAAAAATTAAAATAGCAATAAATTAAACTTTTATATAATATAATTTACTTAATATTACTATTAGCTTTTTTAACTTTATTATTACTTTTAAGTTTTTTAAATATAATTAACTTTATAATAAAACTGTTTAATTTATGTTAATTAGTTGTTTTTTTGCTTATAAATATACTTACATTATTGCTTATTTATTTTTTAAAAAAACTAAACATTTTGCTAATTTATTAAATTAGTAGTTTTATTGCTTTAAAACTAATATTAAGCATTATTTTTGCTTTAACTTATATAATAGTATATTTAACGCATATTAATAACTTAAAATTAGCTATAAATATATAGTTTATAGCTTAATGCATAAATAATAAAAGTAATATAATAAGTTATAAGTTTAAAAGTTTGTTTAATAATAGTTTTATTAGTTAGCATTAATTATATTTAATAATAACTTGCTAAGTAATAAGCATAGCTTTTAAGTGCTAAAAATGCTTATTTAGCTTTTAAATTAAGCTTTTAATAATAGTATGCCTTAGGTTAATATATGCGTTTTTTGCGTTTTGCAGCAATTTTAGCACTTTAAGCACTTTTAAAAGCGCTATATAATAAACCTGTTATATATTAATATAATAGGTTTGCTTTTAAGGTCTTAATTTATAAGTAATAATAGGATTTTTAATAATAGTTCATTAAGGAGGTTTTTAAAGTATTTTTACTATTATACATTAATAAAGGTTTTAAAAAATTAAAAGTAATAAATATATTAATGCTTAGCAATTATAAAAAATTAATAACTAAAAAGCTAAAAACTAAGTAAATAATTAAATATAAAAAATGTATAATTATATAAATAAAAAAAATAATAGTAATAATTTATAAATATTGCTTTTTTTAATAAACTTAATATTATATTATTTTAAGTTTAAGGTTTAATAAACTTAATGCTTAAGTTTATTAAGTTTAAAGCTTAATAAACTTAATGCTTAAGTTTATTAAATTTATGTATTAAACCTTTATAATAGTTTAAATATATATTTTTTTAACAAATAAAACTTTTTTTGCGTATATTTTTTTTATATTTAGCTTTTTAACTAGCTTAATTAGCTTATTTTATAATATTTTTTTTTTTTTTATAATTGTTGTTTTAACAATTTTATATTTTCTTTTTTGTAAGTTTTTTTTTTTATTTTTTGTTTTTTGTTTTTTATGCTTATTATATTTAATAAAGTTTTTAAAAAACCTTGCTTATTATGTTTTAAACAAAAAGCTTAACAAAATTTTGCTTTATTTTTTTTTATTAAACTAAAATTAATTAAAATAGCTTTATACTTTTGTTATAATTATTATAACACAAAATGTTTAATGTTAAAATTTAACTTTAATTAATGTATTAAATATATTATAGCGTAAGGGTGCACACACCTAGTTAACAGCATGTCGCAAGTGAGCAAACAACCCAAGGGCAGAGAAGTAGAAGGCAGAGCACTTAATGAAATCGTAGCAGAACCGGTGCAACCTAGAAGTAAATACAGGATGTTTTTACCTAGCTACTAGGAAAAAAGTGAGCTGCTTACGGCTTGCTTTCGACCTACAAGCACAGTTTTTACCTGTATATATAAGAGATAAAAACCAGCATAGTTAATAAGCCGTTAGCCCAAGTAATACAATATATATTATAGCTAAACAAGTAAATTATAACGTTAAAAGTTTATTTTTAAAGCAAATATAGTAGCTTATTTTTTAGTATAAAAAGCTAAAAAATAAATTAAACTTGCTAATAAAAAAGTATAAAAAAATAAATATAAAAATCTGCTGTTTTAAACAATAAAAAAAATTATAGCAAAAAAAAATAGCTATTATTATAACTTATAGTTTAAATAGTTTAAAAAAGCTTAAATAAATTAAAACAAAAAAACGTTATATAGTTAAAAAATAAAAATAGCACATTAAAGCAATATAGCTATTATTAGTTATACTTTTAAAGTTTAATTAAAACGCGTTAAACGTTTTGTTTAAAGTTAATTTTTTTTTTTTAGTTTTAGCTAGTTAAAGTATTAATAATAAAACTAGTTTATAATTATTTTAGTAGTTTTTAAATGTTTTTTAAGTTTTTAAATATTATTAACATATAAATATTTTTTTTATTTAATAAAATATTTAATATTATTGTTGTTTTAATAAAAATCTAGTATATTTTTAACTTTATAAATGTTTTAATTTGTTTTTATTTTTAGTTATGTTTTAATAAATATTTTAATAAATACTAGTTTTAGTAAAAAAATATAAAAAACAAAATAAATTTGCATATTTTTTAATAATAATAGTTTATAGTTAATAAATAAAATAACTTCTTTAATTTTAAAAAAACTAAGTTTTTTAAATTTTAATTTATTGCTTAATTGTTTTGTTTTAATTTAAAAAATATTAATGTTTATGTTTTATTTTTATTATAGTAAATAAACTTTGTTTTTTTTTAAAAGCTAGTTTTTTAGTTTATTTTTTATTATAGTATATTAACATTTATTGTTATAAAAATTAAAAACATAATTGCAGTTTAACTTATAGCGTTTTAATTTTTATTGCAATAGTTTTTGCTTAAAGTACTATAATTAAAATAATAAGTATTTTTATTAATGTTTTTTTTTGTTTTTTAATAGTTGTTTATTATTTATAAACAGCTTTATATAAAAATATGTTTATATGTTTGTTTATTAATATATTATATAAAATTTATATTATTAATAATAGTTTTATTTAATTGTTTTATTAATAGTTAATATAACTTTATAAATATTGTTTTAATATTTAGTTTAGTTTTTTTATTTGTCTATTTGTTTATAAGTAATAAATAGTTAAAAATTTTAGTTTAATATTAATAAGTTTAAAAAAACTAGTTTTAAACTTAAAAATAAATAATTTATTTTAGTTTAAAATAATTTTTTTTAATAACTTATGTTTATTTAAATATTAGCGTATAAAAGCATATATAAGTTGTTTAGCTATTATATTTTCTTTAAATAGTAAAAAATAAGCATATTTAATAAGTTTATTAATAATATATATATTGTATTACTTAAGCTAATAGCTTATTAGCTATACTAGTTTTTATTTTTTATATATATAAGTAAAAACTATGCTTATAAGTTAAAAGCAAGCTATAAGCAGCTTACTTTTTTTTTAATAGCTAAATAAAAACATTTTATATTTATTTCTAAGTTGCACTAGTTTTGTTACGATTTTATTAAGTGCTTTGCTTTTTATTTTTTTGCTTTTAAGTTGTTTGTTTATTTGTATTATACTATTAACTAGGTATATGCACCTTTACGTAATTATTTTATAGTTTTTTTTTTCTTGTATTTTTTTTGCTTTATAGTTTGCTTGCTTTAGTATTACTGCTTGCTTTATATTACTTGCAATAGTTTTTTTAGTTTTAGCATTTATTTAGCTAAATATACTGCTTTTTTTTTTTAGTTTTTTTTTAAACTTTTTTTTATTATATTGTTAATATATTATAGTTTGCTTGCTTTAATATTACTACTAGCTTTTTATTATATTAGTTTTTTTATAATTAAGTTATAACTAAGTTATAAGCAAAGTTAATTGCTTATTATTTTTTAGTTTACTTTTTATATATTTATTTTTTAAGCTGCTTTTGTGCTTTTTATAATAAGCTTATTAAGTAAGCATAACTTATAAATAGCTTATGCACTAAGCAATATAAAGTAATAATAAGTAATAAGTTATTTTACTTAGTTATT